AATAATAAAAATGAATTTTCTTGTTTTCGAATTATTAAAGGGAAAGTCCCTGATTTTCTTGAGACATTTTTCGGGGAAAATTCTAAAAATTTGAATTCCTCTCAAAAAGATATTTTTGCCAATTTCTTATTAGAATTTCAGGATGTATTTTCTCAGGATTTGATTGCAGGGAACTGTGGAATTTTAAAACACGATATTAAGGTTACGGATTCTAGGCCGATTAAACAAGCTCCACGTAGAGTTCCGATTCATTTAAGAGAGGAAGTCAATAAAATCATTAAAGAAATGAAGTCTCAGGGAGTTATTGAAGAATCTAAAAGTCCGTGGGTCTCTCCTGTCGTAATGGTAAAGAAAAAAGATGGATCATTAAGATTTTGCGTCGACTATAGGAAGCTGAATTCTGTCACGGTGAAAGATTCATATCCATTGCCTCGAATTGAAGATATTTTGGATCAACTTTCAGGAAATTCTTGGTTCTCTACTCTGGATCTGAAGAGCGGGTATTGGCAAGTAAAGCTGGACTCCAAAGACAAGGAGAAGACGGCTTTCTCTGTGGGAAATGGATTATGGCAATTTACTGTCATGCCATTTGGACTTTGCAATGCCCCCGCTACTTTTGAACGGTTGATGGAGAAAGTTCTTCAAGATGTTTTATCGAAGATCTGTTTAGTTTATCTTGACGATGTGATTGTTTTCAGTGAAACATTCGAGGGGATGATGGAAAATTTAAGGAAAGTCTTTCTTCGCTTTCGCTCAGCAAATTTGAAATTGAACCCTAAGAAGTGTTCGCTTTTTGGAAGAGAAATAAAATATCTTGGTCATGTTATCTCTGAACATGGAATTACGACGGATCCTGAGAAGATTTCTGCCGTCAGAAATTGGCCTGTTCCTCAGAATAGGAAACAAATTCGAAGTTTTCTAGGATTTTGTTCTTATTATAGGAAATTTATTAAAGGCTTCTCTTTGATAGCCAAACCGTTATTTGTTCTTACAGAAAATCAAGTAAAATTTGAATGGAATTCATCTTGTGAAGAGGCATTCAATGAATTGAAAGAGAGATTAGTTTCTTCGCCAATTTTATCTTTTCCGAAGGAACACGGACAATTCATTTTGGATACGGATGCTTCGAATCATGGGATAGGAGCGGTATTATCGCAAGTTCAGAATGGTTCAGAAAAAGTCATCGCTTATTTCAGTCGAGTCTTGAATAAAGCAGAAAGGAATTATTGCATTACACGAAGGGAATTATTAGCAATTGTGGCATCAATGAAGTCTTTTCATCATTATCTATATGGAAGGAAATTCCAAATTCGAACGGATCATATTTCTTTGAGATGGCTTTTGTCATTCAAAGATTTAGAAGGACAATTAGCTCGATGGCTAGAGAGATTGCAACAGTACGAGTTCGAAATAATTCATCGAAAAGGACGACTGCATCAGAATGCTGATGGTTTGTCAAGACGCCCTTGTTCAGAACTCGGTTGTGTTTATTGTGCCAAAGTAGAATTGAAAGAAAATTCTGTTGCTAGAATTATTCTTGGAGAAAATAGTTCAGAGAAATGGCGGAATAAACAATTAGAAGATCCTATTATTTCAATGTTCCTTCAAGGGAAAGAAATTAATAGACGTCCTGATTTACAAGAAATTAATAGAGATATTTCTGCGAAAGTTTATTGGTCCTACTGGGATGCTTTGGTTATTAGAGATGGAATTTTATATAAAAGATGGGAATCCCCTAACCTTAAATCAGAAATTTTCCAGATTATTGTTCCTAAGAACTTCATCAATCAAGTTTTGGAGGAGGCTCATGATTCTGCGTCTGGTGGCCATTTTGGTGTAAATAAGACGTTAGAGAAGATCCGAAAGCGTTTTTATTGGGCCTGTTATATCCCCCAAAGATATACAATAGATATAACTGTTAAAAGAGTAACTAATATTAAGAAATGGGTACTCGTATTGCATCTGCAATTACGACAGACACTGACCGCGTTAAAAAACGCATACGATGCGAGGTATACGCGGAATCGGAATTACGACAGACACTGACCGCGTTAAAAAACGCATACGATGCGAGGTATACGCGAAATCAGAATTACGACAGATAATGACCGCGTTAAAAACGCATACAATGCGAGATATACGCGGAACAGAAATTGGTCAACGTGCAAGCAAAGCAGAAGGACTTTGAATCTGCTTCGCTTGCACCTAGATTCTCGACCGGGGAAACCTGTTGCCAGGCACCCCTTCCGATCGGGAAAACTCCAAAAACAACGATATAAAAAGAGAGTAGAGACGCGACAACTCGCTCAGTCGCAGACACAAATAAACGCTCTAACCACGATCTCGCTAACCGCGCGCGCACTTAGCATCGACTCGCAGTTGTGCGCGATACGCGGAGTAATATAAAGTCAGTGCCGCACACTCGTAAAGCTTCAGTGTATTGATAGTGAAATAAAATAAAGACCAAGTGGTTGAAGTTGAATAAAGAATTTTAATACAAAAAGTGTAGTGCATTTCTCTACAAACACCCGACAAGTCCTGACGCCCCGGATTCCCATCCCAATTTGGCGCGACCCTTAAGTGTCTCTCCCGAGGCACACAACAGGCCACATGTAAGAATGATGTGGAGGATTAGTGCCGTTCCTGTAAGGTTTGTGTAGCAAGGAGAGGTCCATCAGGAAAAGGGAAGTCACCTCTTCAAGTGTTTGATGCTGGATTTCCATTTGAGAGGGTACAAATGGATATACTTGGCCCTCTTCCGACTACCACAGCTGGAAATCGATATTTGTTAGTGATTATTGATTGTTTTACCAAGTGGGTAGAGGCATTTGCTTTAAAAAATATTAAAGTAAAAACGGTAGCTGATGTTTTCGTGAAACAATTTGTTTCTCGACATGGAGTTCCGTTGGAAGTGCATACCGATCAAGGTAAAAATTTTGAATCTAAAATTTTTCAAGAGGTAACACATCTTTTAGGGATTAGGAAGACGAGGACTACTGCTCTACATCCTCAGTCAGATGGGCAGGTAGAACGTCATCACCAAACGATTCTTAATTACTTGGCTAAATTTGTTTCAGAAGATCAGAAGGATTGGGATGACTGGATTCATATGTACTTGTTGGCATATCGTTCTTCGAAACATGAAGCTACGGGTGCTTCCCCTGCTGAATTGTATTTCGCACGAGACTTAAGACTACCTTTGGATTTATTACGAGGGAGTCCTCCAGTAGATAAAAAAGATAATTCTTCCGAAGAATATGTACACAGATTGAGGGAAAAGTTGGACAATATTCACAAAAGTGCTAGTCAGCGTTTGAATCTTCAATCTCTTCGTTCTAAAATACGACATGATCGTAGAGCTAGGAAGATTAATTTTAATATTGGTCAAGAAGTATGGTTTTATAATCCTCATAGAGTAAAAAGCAAATCTCCTAAATTACAAAGTAATTGGGAGGGGCCTTATAAAATAATCAAAAAGCTTAGCGATGTGGTTTTTGGAATCATAAGGTCAAATAAGCACAAATGTAAAATTGTGCATTCGGATAGATTAGCTCCTTTTTATAGTCGAAACTTGCATTAGAATCGGAACCCACGATAGGTTACTTGTACTTTTAATAAAATTGTGTATTCTTCAATTTTTCTGCCGTAAGATTTGTTTTTCAGGAAAATCTTATTTGGCAACAAAAAGAAAAAGGACCTGATGAAGATGAGAGAGATAAAAGGGATGAAGACTACCTCACAAAAAAGGGACGAAGACTGCCTCACCCCGTGGTTATTTTGATCCGTGGTTTTTCCCGGGGGCTTTGGGCAAATGCCGAGGCAGAGGCTTGAGGAGTCCTTTAAAAGGGCGTTGGGTCCACGGAATGTTACCCCTCTCTTGCCTGAAGAATTTTTGGGACTTTGAGGAAAATTCCTGGAATCAATGAAGTCGATTGGACCCAAGATGGTGTGCAGTTCGTTGTACCTGGAACAGCAGTTCGGGGAGAACATGGAGTCACATCGGGGACTGTAATTCGGCGAGGTTCCTGTAAGGAATTGTTCTGGATCTGTCTTATTGAATTAATTGTCGGGACGACAATTTTGAAGAGGAGGGGGCAAGTGTTATGTCCGTGTCCCGCCCGTTTGACGATACATCCCTGTATTATACGATCGTCAGGATTTTCTATTAGGATCTTCTATCAGGGTCTTCTATCAGGGTCTTCTATCAGGATCTTCTATCGTCGCTAAGAAGCTGTTTATGTCTATCGATGCGTTTTGTTCTGGTCTAGCTGTCGTGCGGTGAGGACGTATCCTCTGACAGCTGATCGGCGGATATATTTGCATTAGGATTAATGCACGTAATATTATATTGTATCGCTACGGTTTATTGGCTTCTAATATTAAAGTTTATTGCTTTACTACGCGAGTGTATTCATTTCCGGCGTGTGAGAGTTTGAGTGCGCGCGACATTTCTTCGAGATAATCAGAAGGGTGGTCGCGGACGTAACAATATATATATATATACATACATTATTTGATCGAGAGGCGACGTCATGCAGCGAGCGGCGATATATATATACATACAGGGTGTCCCATAATTCGCGAATCACCTTTCATGGGCAGATAGAGCGTGTTAAACTGAATAGAAAAGTCCTGTATCATTTTGCGATATTCGCAATAATTATTGAGTTATTAACTAAAATATCTAAACGAATGAGCGGATAGAAAGCGATAGGTCGGACTCGGTGTGCATGTACCGCTTAGTATCAAAAGTATCATCTTACTTTTCGGCGCCACTACATTGGTCGCCGCTCGCTGCATGACGCCGCCTCTCGATCAAATAATGCTTTCTACTTGCTTATTCGTTTGTTTAGATATTTTAATAAATAACTCAATAATTATTGCAAATATCGCAAAATGATACATGAATTTTCTATTCAGTTTAACACGCTCTATCTGCCCATAAAAGGTGATTCGCGAATTATGGGACACCCTGTGTGTGTGTGTATATATATATATATATATATATATATATATGAATATAACTTTATTACTGCTTAATACAAATATCACAAGGAATATCACGAGTTAATCTTTGGAAACGAACGACTAAGCACGCTGCGCAGAACAAGAGTCTCTCTTTAGGAGAAAGATTATGGTCTTAACATAGACTTAATCTATTATAGATAGATAAGTATAGATAGATATGTATAAAAATAAGACGTCATTAGGACGCAGTAATTGGCTCGGATTGGACTGGCGTATTGCGCAGGCATATTACGAAAGTAGTCTTCATACTACCTTCCTTCTTAATAACCTAGTATTTAAGTTGCAAACCGGACGGTTTTGTTACTTTTGGCAGGCGGGTACGTTCTCATCGCTGGGACCGGCGTGGGTGTTGATGCTTCTGCTTGGTCTGGCCGCGTTGGCAGAGATTCCAGGAATGCCGGCTTTATTCTATCTATTGAGATAGTTGTTGGTTTACCTCTGATGTTGACCTTGAAGACTCGGTCGGTGCTTCGCTCTATTACCTCAAAAGGTCCCTCGTACGGTTGGTCTAAAGACCTTTGGGTTGCGCCTACTCGGACAGTGCGAGCACGTGTTTAAATCCTTGAGGATGAAAGCTCTTGGTTTTATATGGTGAGCCGTTGGGGAAGGACGAGTTTCTCGTATATGACAACGTAGTTTTTTAAGGAACGGGTAAGGATCTGCAGTTGTTTCTTCGTGAAGGAAAAATTCGCCTGGGAGTCGGATAGGGGTTCCATAAGTTAGCTCAGCGGTGCTGATTTTTATGTCCTCCTTTAGGCTTGTCCTTAGGCCCAGTAATACAATCGGTAGGATGTCTACCCACTCGCTATTGGCGTAGCAGCAGATGACTGTCTTCATTGAGCGGTGGAACCGTTCAATGGCTCCATTCCACTCGGGATGGTAAGGTGTTGTCCTGGTCCTTTTGGCTCCTATCATGGTCGTTAGTGCCTGAAACAATTGAGACTCGAACTGTGTTCCACGATCTGTTGTTATCACTGCTGGCGCTCCAAATCGTGCGATCCATGTAGAGTAAAAAGCATTGACTACTGTGTCGGCTGTGATGTCAGCTATAGAGGTTGCCTCTGGTCAGCGTGTAAACCTGTCAATTGCTGCAAGGCAGTACCTGAATCCGCGTAATGGTGGAAGAGGACCGACAATATCCAGGTAGACTTGGTAAAACCTAGCGTTCGATACCTTGATGTGATCTGGGATGGTATGATTGTGACGATGGATTTTCGCGTATTGACAATCTTGTTCCAGCGAGCTACGTCACTGTTTAGGCCGGGCCAGACGAATCTTCGGGCGATTAGCTGCCTGGTAGCATGAACTCCTGGGTGCGATAGGCGATGGGCTGCGTTGAACACCGTGCGTCGTAGCGAGGCAGAAACGTATGGACGAACATCGTTTCCAAATGTATCGCAATATATTGCTTGGTCTGTGTCATCTAGGTAAAGTTTGTTAAGTTTTAGGTTGGTTTCTGTTTGCAGAGTCTAAAGTTCTTTATTGGTTAGCTGCTCTCTAGCCAAATCGTCCGTTGACACCACTACAGGCATGTTTATTGCCTAAATGCGGAAAAGTGCGTCTGCGGTTACGTTTTTTGCGCCTGGGATGTGGGTGAAACTTGTGGAAAATTGGCCTATATAATCAAGGTAGCGTAATTGTCGAGGTGACGCTTTGTCAAGCTTTTGATCGAAGGCGTATACTAATAGCTTGTGATCTGTTACGATTGTGCATTGACGGTCTTCAATCATGTGTTTGAAAAACTTTACTGCTTCGTACACGACAAGTAGCTCGCGGTCGTACGTGCTATACTTCCGCTGGGCATCGTTAAGCTTCTTAGAGTAAAATCCTAACGGCATCCATTTTCCTTCTTGCAGTTGTTGGAGAATAGCGCTGACTGCTGAGCTGGAAGCGTCCGTGCAAAGAACGAACGGTGCTCCTTCATATGAGTGTGCTAGGAGTGATGCGTTAAACAGCTTGCGTTTACAGTCTGCGAATGTTTGTTCCGCTTCTAGAGTCCAGGCTATTTCACGATTATCACGCTTGGTTGCTCCCGCGGTGAGTGTGTGTAACGGCGCTTGAGTGTCTGCAGCGTTTTTCAGGAATCTGCGATAAAATTAATAAGACCTAAAAACCTGCGAAGTTCCATGACTGTGCGTGGTTTTGGATAGTTACTGATCGCTGCAACGCGATTCTGTAAGACTGTTATTCCGTCCTTGATGATGAGATGATCAAGGTAGTGGACTTCAGGTGCGCCAAATACACATTTTAAAATGTTTATAGACAGTCCGTGGTCTCTCCAGTAGTCTTTCCAGGATTATGCGAAGGTGCACCTTGTGTTGTAGTGTAGTCGAGGCGATTAATATGTCGTCTATGTAGCAAAAGACGAATTTCAGACCTCTGAAAATTGTGTCCATCAGCCTCTGGAAGGATTGTGCGGCGTTGCATAGACTGAACGTCATCCGGGAAAACTGAAAAAGGCCAAATGGTGTAATAATTGCAGTTTTGGGGCGATTCTTTGGTGCAATTGGGATCTGATAAAATGCCTTTGCCAGGTCAAGGACTGAAAAAATGGTACAGTTTCGAAAGTAGTAAGTAAAATCGTGAATGTGCGGTATAGGGTATTTATCCGGCACAGTTATCTTATTTAGACGGCGATAGTCGCCACAGGGTCTCCATCCACCATCCTTCTTACGGACCATGTGTAGCGGACTGGCCCATGGACTAGAAAAGGGTTCGCAGATGCCTTGCGGCTTTAACTCTTCGATTTCCTTTCGCGCGGCTCTTGCGCGAATTGATGAGAGTCGGTGCGCTTGCTCTGCTACTGAAGATCCTCGGGTGATTACGGCTGGACTGAGTGTTTTGGTATTTGCGCCTTTGCTGGTCTAATAACTTTGGTGAATTGTTGATGAAGCTGAAACTGGCAGCCAGACTTAGCAGCCAGCCAGGGACGAATAGGGTGCCGGGCCCCGGGAGTTAAAAAGTAATAAAATATATCTTAAATTCATTATAACCAAATATCATACATTTAAGGTGATGCAAAATAAATCGAAATAACACACAAAAATAATAATAACATTATAATAAACAATTTACTAAACCGTAAGAATTAAATCTAAAGAGCAACATAGCTGCATATTCGTAGAGACTTGAAAAAAATCACAAATAATCTGTAAACCGAGTACAAAACGATGCTACAACGAGCTGCCCGGGGACGGCCCTCATTGTTGATTAAAAAAATTAAACAACATTTTTAAACAAATAAGCGGCTAAGTCGAACGCATACACGTACAGACTTGAAAAAAATCACAAATAATCTGTAAATTGAGTACGAGACGATGCTACAACGAGCTGCCCGGGGACGGCCCTCATTGTTAATTAAAAAAATTAAACAACATTTTTAAACAAATAAGCGGCTACGTCGAACGCATACACGTACAGACTTGAAAAAAATCACAGACACATCTTGTACTAAGTACAGAACGATGGTACAGCGACCAGAGCGGGGACGGGTCTTATTGTTTATTTAAAAAATTAAACAGCATTTTTAAACAATTCAAGCGGCTAAGTCGTACGCATATCCGTAGGGATTTGAAAAAAATCTCAAATAATTTGTAAACCGAGTACAAGACGATGCTACAACGAGCTGCCCGGGGACGGCCCTCATTGTTAATTAAAAAAATTAAACAACATTTTTAAACAAATAAGCGGCTAAATCGAACGCATACACGTAGAAACTTGAAAAAAATCATAGCATTTTTTGATTTTTTGAATTACCACCGTCTTTATGAAGTGCGAAGAACATACATGAACAATCGTCACATTTTCTTTTATTAGTATTTTCTTTTCGTATTTATCAAATATGTACTGGATGTAAGTTGATAAATTCATGGCATTAAAGGCTTTGCAGACTGACTGTATTAATGCCAAACTGAAATCTGAATCCGCGATGTACAAATAGGCAGCGTGAAAGTGGGGACGCCCCCTACTCCCCACGGCACGGAGGCGCGACTCTCCTGTCTTGTGGCCCGTACGGAGCTTTTCCTCGTTTCTGTAATCTGGCCGAGCGAGCGAGCGAGCGAGCGAGCGAGCGAGCGAACGAACGAACGAACGAACGAACGCACGAACGCACGAACGCATTTCTATAGTAGGCGTAGGATTTAGTAATAAAAATATGTCTTCTTCTATCTCTACTGTCAATATATAAGATTTGAGCAACAATGAAAACACACGGAGAACTGATTACTATTGACGCTATTTCTGACGCTATTGTTCAGATATATAATAAATACGATGAGAACATTTATAATTTCGTTTCGCGTTTGCAACATCAGTCCACTAAATGTTTATGGTTGGATGTTTGCCGCAATATTATGGGCAATGTCAGGGATCAGCGTACAATCGAAAAGCATCAAAGAAAATGTAAAGGCATGTTTAAAAAATATATGAATAACATTATAAACATTGTTGAAACAACCAAAACTTGCAATGTATGTCCACCTGTTCAATACGTCGAGCAAACTGAACAGGTGGAAAAGCCCACATCTTCAGACGTGTCTAATTGTAAGAATGATTTCGGCGTACTTAATTCTGTTTACAACGATGTGAAAAAAGAAGAAACATCAGTAGTGATGTTTCCTCAAAGTCCGACTGTCGACGATGAGCAAACTTTATCGACAACTATTACAGACGATCATCAATCTTTTCATTCTGATGAACGAATGATAATTGTCGATGATCATGATTCACTATCAAGTAGCAATCAATACCCTTTGCGTCTAAAAGATTATACGATAAATGAAGAAATTTCATTGTCCAACGTGTCCACGACGAATGATTGTGAGTCATCATCTCCGAATATTTCTCTTCAAGAAGAAACGGATAGCAGAAAAAAAACATCATTACGCGGAAATTCCTTCGTTCTCCCTAAACATTTTTGGGAAGAATTCTGGGTTGGCGGTAATAAATCTTTACGAAAGGGTTGGGTAGATGTTTTTAACACCGAATTTGAAAAAAAATATCCTCTGTGCGTTTTAGCCATCTCGTGGCATAAATGCAGAGATAAATTAAATAAAAGTGCTTATTTCTTTCAAGCTGCAGGGCAATGCAAACATTCGACGTGCGTAAAATTTAATTTTTTCGTAACAGAAAATATTGACGTTCCCTACACTGACAAAATTGTTCATGTTCACGTCAGTGGACACGTTTCCCATGGGAAAGAACGATATCATCGCAACATTCGTGGCAAAGACAGGGCAGTATTAGCTGATGAACTAGAAAAACGATCGGCAATAGTAGTCAAGTTAAAAATGCTTGTTAAAACTGAAAAAATATTACGAGCAGACAATTTAAACAAGACTCCGAGTTTAGATATTTTACACAAAATATCAAGTGAAAATCGGGCGAAACATGATCTCGATAAAGAATTCCTAATGTTTATGATAAAATTATTTGATGAACAACAAGAACAGATTCGAGGTGAAGAATTACACGGTTATATTCAAGAATTTTGTTTAATACCACTATCAGTGATCTTGTTCAGCGAAAAGCAAATTAGATACTTAGCTTCTGACAAATCGAGACATTTACATCTAGATGCAACTGGTTCGATTATTGCACAACCTAACCTTCTTAATACTGCAACTACGATTTATTATTACGTGCTGCTATTGCCAGGAAATACAGAAGTTGGACCGTTACCTATTGCAGAATTTATATCGTCGAAACACGACATTACAGCAATTAAGCATTTTCTGGACGTTTTTAATGACAATTTAAAAAAAATAACAACAAAAAAAATAAAAAAAATTGAAACAGATTTCAGTTTGGCATTAATACAGTCAGTCTGCAAAGTCTTTAATGCCATGAATTTATCAACTTACATCCAGTACATATTTGATAAATACGAAAAGAAAATACTAATAAAAGAAAATGTGACGATTGTTCATGTATGTTCTTCGCACTTCATAAAGACGGTAATTCAAAAAATCATACGTTTACAAAAACGCATACGTTTTATAGCAGCATCACTATTAGCAAACATGTTGCACTGTAACGGTGTATCGGCTGCTGCTGAAGTATATGGCGTATTTGTGAAATTGTTCGGAAACGATCGTCAAACCAATGATTTCAACCATGTAATACAATCTATAAATATAATTACAGAAGACATGAGCAGTAACTCGGATACGTATTCACCACCACAAGCACAAACTGAAACGTCTTCTTCCGAGAGGAAATCGTCACTTTATTACTATACATTTAAAAAAATTGAAATGAGTGTACGGGAAAATAGTAGAATCGAAAATACAAAACCAAATCCATTTTTTTCAAAAGAGTTCTTCGACTATGTCGTGGATTTTTTAATGCCGTATTTCCCTTTATGGTCAGCAACGGGTATTGCAAAATTTCATTTAAGGCGTGACAGCAATGCTCCTGTCGAAAATTATTTTAAAATTTTAAAACACCAAATACTGAATGGGGAAACACATACTCCTGCACCACGTTTCATTAGGGAAAATTTTAAAATAATTGAAGCGAGATTACGGGAGCGACAGTTTTCACTCAAAACTACGCGTTGCAAGAAACGAGAAATCATCAGTGATGATGAAAATAATTCTGTCGAGACCTGGAAGAGACCAAAGCGAATGAACAAGTTTCTGAGGTATTCGAAATTTCTCACAGTTGACAAAAACATGATCGAGCAATATGAAGAAGAGTTAACTACTACAACAGTTTGCGGTGATAATAATTCTCAGGAATATTTCAAAAAATTCAAACCAGGACGTCCTACGACTGAAACAGCAGCAGATGAAATATTGTTTCATACAGGATTGACGTATCCTGATGGGTTTCCTGATTTAAGGAAAGACATCAATGGGTACGTTATTGAAGCAGAAAATTTCCGAACGCTGATGCCATTTCAGTCTACAGAGCAATACCTGGATGATAATGTTATAAATGCATTTTTCAGTCTGTTACCCGGAATCGCAAAAGGCAAAAACTTTTCACTTGTATGCTTACTCATTTTTTTCAAAGTATACTAACGCGAGGGTTCGTAAGCGTCGGATACAACAAATGGGCAAATCGAAACGCAGTGTGGGACTACCCCGTGTGGTTCATACCGATTAATTTTGCAGCTCACTGGACACTTATGGTGATAGTCCATTCACGACAGAGTATCATATATCTGGATTCATTACATGAAAATCCCGACAAAAAGATATTAAATGGAATTCGTCATTTTATACAGGAACACCTTCGAATTACGTCGTGGAATAAATGGACAGTACACATCCCACGAGACGTTCCCTCGCAAATAGTGAATGACGATATAGGCGGAAATTGTGGAGTGCACGTATGCACATGGGCATACATAATTGCTTCCGGATCGTACACACGCTTTTCTGAAGACGACATGAGAGTGGTCCGCAGAGGCATAGCAAGCTTCCTTGCAAATTCTGTCTCCGATAAACGGACGGAAAATAAAACAATAAAATGCCGACAATTAATTTTATCGAACCAAGAACAAACAAACAATTGCGAAAGGTCCAATTTGAAGTCTCCGAAAATATCTGAAAGCGTCCCATTCCATTTTACGAACATTTTCGAATTTGCAGCATCTTTGCATATAATAACACAAAATGATACATTAAAGCCAGAGACTAGGAGACAACAACAAAAATAAAAAAATTGTTTAAGGGGTAACACCACTGTAAAATTTTCAAAAAATCGATTTTTTTTTGGGCTTAAAAAATCCTTTGAACCCTGTAGAATACGAGGAAAAAACTTTTATACGTGAAACTAATTTTTTTCATCAAAATTCCTAGCTATGTACTGAACGAGTCGGGCGACTCCGAAACGGCTACCTGCTCCGGGTGGAAACCTGTCGAGAGAGTAGTGCATAATACCTTGCTTATTGATTTCTAAGTTATGTGAGACACTACTAGATGAAATATATCTAGATATATGAAATATATCTAGATATATCTAAAATATATCTAAAATATATCTAAATATATCTAAATATATCTAAATATATCTAAATATATCTAGATATACGAAATATATCTGGAAATGGAAATTGGCGTCGAAGCATATAATTTTTGCATCGAATCCGATACAAAACGAATCAAGCACGCAGAGGCACAATTATCAGATGCAGCAAAAAAAGCGCGCTCTGGCATAACAACTGCGAGGAAAGAAATGGAGGACGAATATTCCAACTTAGAAGGGCAGCTTTACGGTGCTGGGATTGCAGACTAATAGTAAAAATTTTTTTTGAGTCGAATTTTAAATTTTTTCATGTTATAATACAACTCCAAACTTTAAACGCGTTTTTCTCGAAACACGTTTTTTCAACGCGGCAAGCAGTATAACTCTAACAATTTTTAATATTTTCACTTGAATTTTTTACTGTACATTCAAAACAACATTTCGAAGTACAATACGTATGGAATTTTTGATACGTTGCTCTAAACATTTTTTATTGCCAAATAATGTCACTTTTTTTTTGTCGAAAAATGAACGACTTTATTCAAATGTTCGCCAATCACTCAAAAATCAATATTTCTAAAATCCCATACGTATTGTACTAGATATACCATTGAAGATCATGAGGAATTTTTTTATTTGTTCTTGGTTCAAATTTCCAACGGCTACACTGCTTGCCGCAGACCCCTTTATTTTAAAGGAGCATCAGGGAATATGGCTGCCATTCCGCCATTTTGTAATATTATTTTATGAAAAAATTTTTACAAGTACTTCAATATATGCTTATTAACTTCACGGAGTATTAATACTTTATTTCATTTCCTTTCATTAAAAAAAAATGTCGAAAAAGTGCTATTTTTTGGGCCGTTACAGTGGTGTTACCCCTTAATTCAAATTAAAAAAATTAAAAAGATAAAAAAAACAAAATTTTAAAAACAAAAAAATTAAAAACATAAAAAACAAAAAAAATGAAAACGGAACCATAGTCCGCCACGTCCTCGCCGTGGTTCTGGATACAACCGAGAGCGGACATTTTTCAAGTCTCTATACGTGTATGCGTTCGACTTAGCCGCTTATTTGTTTAAAAATGTTGTTTAATTTTTTTAATCAACAATGAGGGCCGTCCCCGGGCAGCTCGTTGTAGTATCGTCTCGTACTCGGTTTACAGATTATTTGTGATTTTTTTCAAGTCTCTACGTGTATGCGTTCGACTTAGCCGCTTATTTGTTTAAAAATGTTGTTTAATTTTTTTAATTAACAATGAGGACCGTCCCCGGGCAGCTCGTTGTAGCATCGTCTTGTACTCGGTTTACAGATTATTTGTGATTTTTTTCAAGTCTCTACGAATATGCAGCTATGTTGCTCTTTAAATTTAATTCTTACGGTTTAGTAAATTGTTTATTATAATGTTATTATTATTTTGTGTGTTATTTCGATTTATTTTGCATCACCTTAAATGTATGATATTTGGTTATAATGAATTTTAGATATATTTTATTACTTTTTAACTCCCGGGGCCCGCCACCCTATTCGTCCCTGGCTGGCTGCTAAGTCTGGCTGCCAGCTTCAGCTTCATGAATTGTTGTAGTAATTCCTTGTATGGATTGTCGTATTTTATTACAGAAAGTGAGAGGGTGCGACACTGAGTAATCTTTCCAGTGGTTAAGAGTTCCGTGGTGCCATCAATGATGCGTCGACCTCGTAGGTCTACCAGGATGTAGAAATATTTGAGAAAATCCGCGCCTAGGATTGCTTGTTGGACGTTAGCCAGTAGAAAACGCCAAGTAAGTGATCTTCGAAGTCCAAGGTTTAGCGTGAGTGTCCTGTCGCCGTAAGTAATAATCACTGAACCATTTGCCGCATATAATTTGAGATCTGCTGGTTTAGTATTCCTGGTCAAACTACTTCTAGGTAGGAATAGGTAGGAATTTTGAGTGAGACTGGTGCCCAACGTTGCCTCTATGCGTTGAGCGACTACTGGTTTCCCTCTGCGGCACTGAACAGTTTGGTCAACCGCACGGAGCTTGGCAGTTGCGTGCGTCTGCGCCAAATTTTTGGTGGTAGTAGCACAGACGGTTGCTGTTGTTGTTGTTCCTGTTGGCAGGTGAACGTCCACGCGAGTCTCGGCCTCGGCTTTGGGAGCGACTCCGACGTTGACGCAGTTGCCGATTGAACTTCTTGGTTAGGGCCTTTATCTGAAGCTGAAGTGCATTTACGGTAGTTAGTAGATCTGCAGGCTTACCTTGTGATTCGGTTTTCGGTGAGTTGTCCAAGATCGCCACTGCGTTCACTGAAGTGGGTCTGGTGGCGTCCACCGCGCGGTCTGCCATTTCGACTAGTCCAAGATCGCGTATGTCTGAGGCGACCAGAATTGCACGCACTTGCTCGGGAAGCTGTTCCAGGAAATTTGTGCGCAGGACAGGATCATTGCACTGACCTCCGGCCAAGTTTTGGAGGCGGTGTAGGTACGCTGTGGACCTCTCGTCGGCTATCTCGTTACTTTGTAAGAGGCGATGAAGTCTTCTCTCATCTCCTTCGTCAAAAGCTGTGTTGATTCTCCTCTTGAGCGCCTCGTATTTTCCTTCCGTGGGGTTAGAATTATATCCGAGACAGCGAGTACGTCACCGGAAAGGTGGATGGCCACGTAGCCGAATTTGCTGATGTCTGTAGTGATTCCGTTGGTCAGGAATGCCATTTCCACTTGGGCAAACCAAAGACGAGGGTTTTGCTTGCAAAATGACGGTAGCTTTGGGAAATGGTCGTCACGTTCTGAGTCCCAGCAAATTATTCTTGGCTGCCTGAATTGAGAAGCTGCTGGCCTTGGGCATTCTCGGTTCGCAAACCTTGGGCTTCATCCCCGAGATTTGCCTGGTTCGACCCTCGGTTTGGTAAATGATCCAACGGCATTTTCTCGGCCTCGTGTGGCACACTAGCACTCGTGAAACGACGTAACGTTCTCTCTCGGTTCGAGCTGATTTTAGCTTGAGCTTCGCGTTCCCGATCACATCGGGGTCACCAATGTGGCGGATGCAAATAAGAAGCAGTTATATATATATTGTTACGTCCTCCGGACGTTCTTTCTCGCAAAAGACGTCTCTCGCACACACTCTCACTCACTCGCGGCTCGCGAAATAAATACACTCTCTTATGAAGAAATGATCCTTTATACAATGATGAAATACAATGACTAATGTACACGCGAAAGAAAGAAGATTGCTCTCTGGTCAAGTCACGTCCGTACGAGATGACAGCTAGACCAAAACTGTCATGGAGCCTGAAAACAACCACCGGGCGGTTGTCAATAAACAACCCCCCTTAACGATGAAGCTCCACGACACAAGGGATGATATTCAGGGATGAAAGATCAGGGACGTAACACTGCCCCCCTTCTTCAAGATTGTCGTCCCGACAATCAAAAACAGAGGGCTATCCAACGCTGTACAATAACTCTGCATTCCGATGCCGACCTCAGGACTCCGACGAATTTTCTTGTTCTACCCTGGGCTCCTGCCACAGGTTACCAAACAATCCGCCATTCTGGATCCCGTCGCGCATCCGTTGGACTATATTCGCCAATCCAAGTCCACAGTACAACTGTATCAATTGTCGATTCCAGGGCACCGACGAGTCTTCCTGCCCTACCCTGGGCTGCTGCCGCAGGTTACCGAGCGACTCCGTCAATTTGGTCCCAATCGACTTTCAAAATTCCTTGAAGATAAGTCCCAGTCTCCCTTCGTCCTCCGGTTCAGACAAGGGGGGGGGTATCTTCCGTGGACCCATCGTCCCTCATGGACTCCCCAAGTCCCTGTCTCGGCATTTGCCCAAAGTCCCGCGGGAAAACCACGGATCAAAAACCGCGGGCAAGACAGTCTTCTTAGAGTAGAATAAAGACGGATGAAGATTTTCTCCCTCGAAGACTAAGCTGGGAGATCAATTTTTCCGCCATTCAGGAAACTCTTCTCAGGTCAAAGACAAATTTCTTTCCAAATTGAAGACTCTGTAACGAAAAATAAAATGCGCAGTAACTTATTCTATTTTTTTAAAATTAAAACATCCCCCCGAATTTTTAAATGAAAATCGACATTTTCGGGCTCCAATCTACTTAATTATTTTTCTAAACTTCTCTCGAGAAAAGGAGCTAATCTATCTGAATGTACAATTTTCCTCTTATGTCTAGACGATCTTTCTATGCAAAACACCACGTCACTAAGTTTTTTTACTATCCGGAATGGACCTTCCCAACTTCCTTGTAATTTCGGAGCTTTCCCTTTAACCCTACGAGGATTATAAAACCAAACCTTCTGTCCTACTTCGAAAAGAATTCCTCTGGCACTACGATCATAACGAATCTTCATCTGAGAAGATTTCAGATTCATTCGCTCTCTAACCGAAGAATGAATTTCTTTTAATTTCTCTTTTAGATTTCTAGTAAAATTTTTTCTTGGAAGTCTTCCTTCAGAAGATTCAGGATTTCCTCGTAAAAGATCCACTGGTAACCTTAGTTCCCTACCAAAATATAGCTCTGCCGGAGTCACGCCAGTGGTTTCATGCTTCGAAGATCTGTAAGCTAAAAGAAACATGGGAATCCATCGATCCCAGTCTTTTTGATCTTCCGATACGTATTTCGCTAGGAAATTTGAAATAGTCTGATGTTGGCGTTCTACTTGTCCGTTAGATTGAGGATGCAAGGCGGTAGTTCTGGTTTTTCTTATCCCGAGTAATTTCATTAATTCTGAAAAAAGTTGTGATTCAAAATTCTTCCCTTGATCAGTGTGAACTTCACTTGGAATTCCATGCCTTGAGATAAATTGATTAACAAAGACTTCAGCGACCATTTTAGCTCTGATATTTTTAATAGGAAAAGCCTCCACCCATTTAGTGAAGCAATCTACGATAACAAGCAAATATTTGTTTCCGGATCTTGTCAAAGGAAGAGGACCAAGTATGTCCATCTGTATTCTCTCTAATGGAGCTCCAACGTTAAAAATTTGTAGAGGAGATTTCCCTTTTCCTGAAGGACCTTTTTTTGAAACACAGATTTTACAGGTTTTGCACCATTCCTCAACATCTTGTTTGCAGGTTGCCCAGAAGAATCGTTTTCGAATTTTTCCTAGAGTCTTATTGGCTCCGAAATGTCCTCCTGTTGGAGAATCATGCGTCTCCTCTAATATTTCCTTTATTCGTACTCGAGGAACCACGAGTTGGAGAAAATTTGATTTTAAATTTGGAGCTTCCCATTTTTTATAGAGGATCCCATTTTTCACAATCAAAGAATCCCAATACGACCAATATATTAGAGTTGAAATGTCCTCTCCGACTATTTCTGAGCGTGGGGGACGAATTTTTGTTTCCTTGGCACGAAGAATAAATGAAATGTCAGGATCTTGTCGTTGCATTTCACGCCAATTTTCCAAATTTTCGCCTTCGAACACAATACGAGAAACTGTTTGTTCCCTCTCCTCTGAATTTTTCTTTTCCACTTTTGCACAATATTGACAATTGTTTGATTCACAAAGTCTTCTAGACAATCCGTCAGCATTATTGTGAGAAATCCCTTTACGATAGATAATCTCAAACTCGTATTGCTGTAATCTCTCCATCCATCGAGCTAATTGACCTTCCAAATCTCTGAAAGATAAAAGCCATCGTAACGAAACATGATCCGTACGGATTAAAAACTTTTGTCCCAAAAGATAATGACGAAAAAATTTTATAGAATCTACTATCGCTAAAAGTTCCCGGCGAGTAACGCAATAGTTCCGTTCGGCTTTATTAAGCACACGACTAAAATAAGCAATTACTTTCTCTTCTCCATCTTGTTTCTGAGACAACACTGCACCGATTCCTATATTCGACGCGTCGGTATCTAATAAAAATTCTCCCTTTTCCCTTGGAAAAGAAAGAATTGGAGAAGAACATAATAAAAACTTTAACTTTTCAAAAGCTTTTTGACATTCATCTCCCCATATGTATTTAATTTGACCTTCTGTCAACATGTAAAGGGGTTTAGCTAAGGAAGAGAATCCTTTAACAAATTTACGATAATAAGAACAAAATCCCAGAAAACTTCGTAATTGTTTTTTTGTGTGAGGTATTGGCCAATCTTTAACAACGGAAATCTTATCGGGATCTGTAACAACGCCCTCCGCGGAAACCACATGACCCAAATATTTTACAGTTTTACTAAATAACACACATTTCTTCGGATTTATTTTTAAATTTGCTTCTCTTAATCGTAAAAATACTGTTCTAAGATTGTTTATCATTTCAGTAAAACTTTTCCCAAAAATTATCACATCATCCAAATAAACAAGGCAAATTTTTGATAATAAATTTTGTAAGACCTTTTCCATAAGGCGTTCAAATGTTGCAGGGGCGTTACACAACCCAAAGGGCATAATTGTAAATTGCCAAAGTCCTTTTCCTATTGAAAAAGCCGTTTTCTCTTTGTCTTCGGGACGGATCTTAATTTGCCAATACCCACTTTTAAGATCAAGAGTGGAAAACCAAGAATTACCTGTTAGCTGATCAAGAATGTCATCAATTCGGGGAAGGGGATAAGAATCCTTAATAGTCACCTCGTTTAATTTTCTATAATCAACAATTTTTCACGGAAGCCAAACTCTCCCCGGTAAGCTCGGCTAAACCAAGTTTCCCTTCTCAATAGGACATTCGTACCGGAAATGTCCGATTTTCCCACACGTCCAACATTCTCTTTGGCCGGCGCTAAATTTGCTGCCTGGCCAATTTCCTTTTCCGTTCTTTTCTTTCTTATCTTTTTCATCCCGTTCGCCTTCTAATTTATTACCCTGCGCGTTCTTTTTTTCAATACTCGAAAAATTTTTATTAAAATTAAAATTTCCTCTCTTTCTTTCGTAACCCTCCCCTTGAATTATTTTTATGACTTTTGCCCTTTCAATTGCCAAACTCAATGAGGTTATATTTTCTAATTGTAAAGTTCGTTTGACAAAATTATCATATATCGCTGAAATGAATTGCGCGCAGGCGATTTTATCTCGGATTTCGTGTGGGCACTCGGGATACGCAAGGCGAACCAATCTTTCAAGTTCCGAACCTAATGTTGCCAAATCTTCCCCAAACTTTTGTTTCCGATTTGTAAATTGAACGTAATAATTTTGTGATAAGAGTCCTTCTCCAAAACAATTCAAGCAATCCAAAGCAATTCAAGTTTTGATTTTAATTCGTTGAATTCTAAATTGGACACGTCTTCTACCGTCTCTAATACTGAACGCGCTTTTCCCCTCAAATTCGAAGCGAGTGCAACAGTCTTTGTTGTATCATCCCAACTATTCGCTTGAGCAATTAAGTTAAACTGCGAGAAAAATTCACGAAGTGATACTGTCCCGTCATAAGTATCAGGTTTTAATTTGTACCCTAATATCGCGCGAAAATCGTTCTCCCTCTCATTTAAAAAATGCGTACCCGAATTTCCACACGTTCTATTATTAGAAGGACTTAGCTGTAGATTTTGTGGCCGGGAATGAATCTCCTTCAAGGCTAGAAGTTCCTCGTCGTGACGACGCAGCATCGCCGCAATTTCGTCCTCTCGACGAGTCTGTTCCTGTCGCATTTCAAGAAGGAGAACCCGAGCTGTAGATTCTGTTACCGCCGGTTCTCCTGCGACTTCCGGTAACGAGCCCGTTTGCTCTCCTGATTCCTCGCTGCCAGTCGTTCGAGACGGAGCTTGTGAACGGGTAATTCTCGGGGAATGTATCATTCTCGACGTTTCCGTTCCGCTGCGGTGAGATATTCCTTCGATCCGATCCCGAACGAGCCCCCAAAATGTTACGTCCTCCGGACGTTCTTTCTCGCAAAAGACGTCTCTCGCACACACTCTCACTCACTCGCGGCTCGCGAAATAAATACACTCTCTTATGAAGAAATGATCCTTTATACAATGATGAAATACAATGACTAATGTACACGCGAAAGAAAGAAGATTGCTCTCTGGTCAAGTCACGTCCGTACGAGATGACAGCTAGACCAAAACTGTCATGGAGCCTGAAAACAACCACCGGGCAGTTGTCAATAAACAACCCCCCTTAA